ACGTTAACATAGACTACAATGCTTCGTTACAATACACATCAGTCAGAAAATGGTAGACGCATTCGTCCATGTAAGTGATATTCAAATATTCATTTATTTTCGTGTTATTTTTCAACCAATCAGTGTGCCTGAAAATTTCCATTAAACCGGGACAGTGACACTTCAAAACAGCTAAAAACTGCTGTAATTGTGAAAATTACGGGTTTACGTACCCATGAACTTGCCTAAAGTAGAACTCAGGAACTTCGAGTAGATGTTTTTTTTATCATAATCTGATATCCGTTAGGAAGTGAATTAGTCAGAAAATGTTTGATATTTCACTTGTTAGGTTTTCAAATTTCCTAGCTTCACATTCCAATAAGTTCACGTGAGATTGGTATCCAAACTTATTTAGCATACAGAGGTCTGAAATATAGCTAAGTTGCTATCATGTGCTCAACAGTTTCAGTTGCTCGCCAGTTGTTATTACATTTTGCTGAAGTATAGTTTAACGAACACCTAGCAATTTGTTTCGGTAAAACGTAATGTGTATAAAGAATTATGAATTTAGTAAACAATTCATTTTTGACATAAAGCAGACAATTTTTATACTGAATAATTCAATCATTTTTCATAGTTTTTGACGATCTGATAATCGTGGTGGTGTTTTGTTCTCTGAGCTGTTCTCTGAGCTCAGAGAACAAAACACCACCACAATCATCCACCTGAGCTACAAGTTTTCTCCACCATCTCAAGATCTGATAATCACAATTCTCATAAAATGCATTAGTCTAGATCTTATCTTTAACAAACATTGACAATGAATTCACGTCAACATTTAACGCAACTGTCTTTCTAACAATAAATTGTATTGGATAGCCCAAGCTAGTTTATGCAGAGCAATGGTTTATTTATTCTGCCTAAATTCGAAACATACTTTATTCTTATCTTTTTATTCCGTTCTTGAACATGAGAAATTCTTATTCTAATTGGGGTTCGAGTGTAATTAATTTCATATTTTCTTTAGCATATTACCAATGTTTTATTTTCACAAAATGTACCCATGAAAAAAACGGCTAAAAAAAATCAAAAACGATCTGAATTTCAACTTAGTGTTGGTAAAATTTTTAAAAACTAACCAGTCGGTCGGTAAAACTTAGAACATGACTAATCCCGTCCAACGCACCACACCATATTTATACCAGAAGATCAAACTATCAAGACAAATATTATCAGGAGTGGTGGCTACTGTGATTGTCGAAGTAACAGTGAAAAGAATCGACTATAAACACTATGATTTGAGGAGAAATAATGACTTTGAGTCATCAAATAAGAGATGATAATCTCGGAAGGAAAATAAAAAGTGAATGTATTTGCATCATTGACACCGACCCTGAACCAAGTTACGTGCACAACTCTATTAACCTCAATCGCGTAGGCCGCAGCCACGTAATTTGAAGATAACCGCACGACTCAACTCAGCAGTCAGTGAGTTCATGAAGTGATGTCAGGTCTTGCATTAACCACTCCAAACTTTCTTTCAGACCACTTCTAAACAAGCCAATTTCTCCTATTAAGCTAACAGTTTGCTACCAGTAATACATGCCGTAACCATCTCAGCCAATGAAAGTTGAATATTTTTTATCAATCAGTTTGCCATCCTTACTTGGTACCTTGCGTCTTTCCTCAATGCTAGTCCCAACATATACGTACAATGCTTTCAGGCATCTGCGACAAAATACTAGTAACCCAATGATAATCTTTCTAATTTTATTCAAACGCCTATTTATGTACTGAATTATTAAACTTACTGAGCAAACAGTACTTGTAAGGTGGTATGTTAAATAACTTTCAAAGCTCATAAAACTTTACAACTTATCCGAACTAGACACTGGACTTATATAGCTGATGAACACTTAAGCAATTTCATTATGCAATATATTTAGCTTTTAATTACATTTAAAACTGATCAAAATTTCATTCAACAATTTGCTTGTCAGTCCTAATTAAAGCAATATATGTCTAGCTGATACACAACGAATTCTATTACCCTAGATCAAATAAAGAGTATCTCAAAAATATGCAACTTATTTTTACTGTAGAACCGATTTACGGTTTTCAACAGCAAATAATTCAGGTTGCACAATTTTGTTTGCATCTTTCGTAGAGGCCACATCAGAACACTAACAGCCAGATATTACGATACACAAAGATTAGTTATCAAGCAATAAATTTTCACAATGACATTTTAACAATAACATGAACATAATATTCTATTTAACTGAGATAATTTCCCAGAATACATCATGGAAATGGCTTTTAAATTTGAGAATTTAAATACACTGCTCACTATGGTAAATCTTCATGCTGTTTCTGATTAAAGTTTCTTGATAATATACGTTATTTGCTTCCGACTGGGTTATTCGTTTAACACAACATAGTTCCATCTTCAGAGTAGAGATTGAACATAGGATTGTATTTACATAGGGTACGTTATAAAATGTATCGATTTATACACATATTTTGTACATATTTTTCAATCTTCACAGCATTTAACAAAGATTTTTCAACCAATAATTTCATGAATAACAAAACTACATGTCTATCAGTTATTTTCCTATTAGTAATTTCTTGTCATTTGGATCAAAGTAGTACAGTATAATCATACACTCAGCATGAGTAATAAATACAATTCTTTGCTCTAATCCCGAAAAAGATACTGTAAATACGTGCTGAAGACCATGAACAGTCATCAGCTGGGGCTCATTTTGATCTTTACGCTACAAGTGGCTAGACGTCACATCTATACAGTTTTACCATATTACATGGAATTGCCTTGTAAGATAGCCGAAAGGGGTTAGAGCATGAAAAGTCATCAATCACTGGAACAGAGTTTGGCTGACAAGTAGTGACATACAGATTGATATTCTAAAGCTAATACTGATCTAGCGATGAAAGCCATAGATTAAATGACGAAATATCGGTTTCAGCGACATTGATGTATTCATTCACTGAGCTTTTCAGTTGTTATTTCTTTCCCTTTTTGTTTCATACACGTTTAGGAATTATTTTTCCATGTGAATTACTATTAAAATCAAATTATTAATTCTAATGCTTTGTTTGAGGTGTGTGAGGTATCACTTGTTTTTATCTGGTTGTACATGACAACGTCTGACCGCTTAAATTCAAAATAAAACTGAATTCAAATTGTATTCCTCAACTCTGTTATTAAACAGTATAATCACTGTTTATTAACTTCAGGCAGGATTATACTTTTCATCATACTTACCATTTTCATATCAACAATAGTAATCTCTTCAATATATTTACAGCAATCAAATCACAATAATAAAAAAATGATTCGGAATTCAATGATAACTACCTGTTAATCAACAATCTACAGCTAAAAAAAAAGTGTTAATACACTTTAATGAGAAGTGACGATAAATAGAATTAGCAGAAATCAAAATAAGACAGAAATCGCCAGCATTGGGAGTAAACACATTTTTTTGTCACGTTGTAGAAACATCTACCTATGTGAAATAACTAATACTGGACTTGTTTTTTATAAAACAAAAAACCACATCTAATTCCGAAGTCCTTTCAAAATTTCACTGTAAATAGTGAATAATACTGAAACAGTTTGAAATCAGGTGACGCTGTTTTATAATACCGATGCTTGTGTATTGTTCTTTCAGTCAAAATATTTGCTTTGAAGTAACATAATTCGTTGTGAATCAATAATGTTCTTTATGTAGTAAATAAAATTGGCTTAAAAATAAGACTATTCTAGATTTTATTACCGTTAATACTTATTGACGATAGAAAAATTGCCTAAATTTCATCAAACTTTGTTGAAGCATGAATTCCTTATTTCTATAACTATTCTCATTGATAGAAAAACTAACCCGATGTACAAATTATGTAAACTGTCACCTTAACTGATATGATATGAACTACCTAATATAACATTGCCTTAGAAACATGGAATTTTAGATTGATTCTGTTTATTTCTGTCCGGACTATTATATTCGTGACACTTTGACTTTTAGTGTGAATATTTTGCCGAATTAAAATATGACTATTTCTTCTAGTAAAACTGATATGGCCGTGCAACATATAGGATAAATCTGTGTTTAACGAAAACTAGAACCGATTATATCAATCTGTATCACATGTGACATCGTTGGATTGTTAATAAGATCGCATTTCTCTTTAGAGATTAAGAAATTAGATCACTCCGAGCTGAACATATACAATGCGCTTCATGATTGGTAATTATTATCTTGAGAGAAATTCTTTCATCTAATGCTAACACTTGTCCAAATCTGCGTGTTCAAGTATGGTGGAGAAAATGATTCAATACGTGTTCTAATCTGAGGAGTCCAGGTTTGATGAATTTCGCGCTTGTTGTTCTACTCGCCCTTGAGCAAAAATTTATCAAATGTCAGCTACATTCATGGCGAAACATCACGTACAAAATAAGGACTTTAAGACACTAGAAATGAATTACTTAAGATGCTATTAAACGAGATTCAAAGTAATAAGCCATTGATAAATCTACCTCATTTTTATTTGACAAAATATTTCTCAAAAGCTATATACAAAATATTTCAATCATATGCAATCTGTTTCCATGAAATTCTCCATCTTAATGTACATCTCTTAATTGAAACTGCTACAACATTTTAAAATAATTTTCTTTATCTTGTCTGGTCAGAATATTGTCATGCTTCTTTGTCTAGTACATTTTTGCAGCAAACGAAAAATAATGCATAAAATACTTTTTAATACTGACTGAACCAAAGCGTATAGGAAGTTATGGACAGAGAAATTTGTAGACAAGATTTTCATACTGCAAATATTTACTAGTTATTTAAACTCTAGCGACCTGGCGTAAATTTAGCAAACTTATTATTATATCTAATATAAACTGTTCATAGTCAACGTTAAAAAACTTTTAAAAGATGTTAATTTCTCCTTTCAGTATAACATCAATATTTTTTTTAACGTCTTAACAGTGTCATTCCAAGCAGCCATGGAGAAAAAGATTGAAGCGTTAAAAAAGCGTTTCAATGAATTAGATAAAGATAAAGATGGCTTTGTGACATCTATAGAATTTGAAGAGGAATTGATAAATCAAGGGTTTCCAAAATGCTTAGCTTCTGTAAGTTAGACTTCTATCTTTTTCCTTTTTCTATTATTGGATTAATAAACTGAATGTGTACTTCATCTTTTTTCTTAACTTGACCTTGGAACTTTGAAGATTCTCCTCAACGTTGTGACTGTTCGATGTTGATCATCTCAAGAATGAAACAGATATCACAGATTCAAAACCATCAAAATATTCAATGTTTGTTTTTCACTAAAGATATTTTACTCATATCAACTTTTAGAGGGTTCCAGATTTATGTGAAGTTACGGGTGTATATTACTGAGAAGTACCTACGTCTGCTGAAGTTCAGTTTTCATATACAATATAACTTTGAATTGAACAGCACACTAAAAAAACATAGGATAGTATGAATAAATTGTAAATAACTTTTGAAATGTTCCCATTGCATAAGCATAAAGTATAGAATTTCTTAACACACGAGTCAATTCTCAGATTTCGAAAATATAGTAAAGCGATGTTTTGAAATATCTCAGCACTGATCAGCCTTTTGTCTAGATTTCAAAATAACTGTTTGTTCAGATAAAATTACTTTTGCGTTACTAAATTTCAGATCTAGTTTAAAATACTCTAGTATCACTCTCTCGGTAAATATTAAAACATGTATCACATTATGCACATAAAACCGATATTGATGTTAACTTTTTTGCCATAGTTCTTGATTAAAAAGCATAATTAAGGCCTTGAAAGCATCTGAAATTGAGTATTCAGTCAAGCTGTTAACGTTTCAAAAATTGTACATTTTAGCACTTTCTTTTCTTATTAAATATATATATATATAATACATAGAATGTGGCTAGCAGTGGATTGCAGGGTTTTCGTTTCGTTCCATTTGGGATTCGTCAGCTTGATGTACCTTCATGAGATTCACTCCAATCGGTAATGATTTGGATTATCCCGTCCAGTCACAGACTATCAACAACAGGTTGCACAAGTTAGAGACCATCTGCACTCAGTTGTTAAATGGATAGCGAGATGGCGTTTGGAGCAAACGGTACTGGGTCCGAGTCCTGGAGAGAATACCAACTCTGAGATGCAGGAATATCAAGCTGATGAGTGTTAAATAGGATAAAATGGGCACCTACTCCTAGTCACATTCAGTTTGTTCTTTAAAAACTCTTGTCATAATCAATCGAAGCAATGCACATAGAATGCCCATATGCAAACCAAGACTAATCGAATTCTGGGCTGAATATCAAACCGTTTTAACTTGAATTAAACCTATTTTAATAGGAATTTTCATCAGTTAGATTGATTTTTTATTGCTAACAGAAATCACTTGATTTATCCTGGTCTAAAACTGCTCAGTAATATACTTTATTTCTTAGTAGATTCTAAAAAGATTAGGATGTTTAATAAACTCATCTCCGTTTTGAAATTTTGCAATTATCAAAACGAAAAGTGATGTGACGGTAAAGCAGGACATCAAATTACAAAATACAGGATTAAGTGAAAGAAGGTAAAGTTTAAAACTACATTCATTTACTAGCAAAGGAGGAGGCTTGCAGTGAAGTCTACTACTTAAAAAGTAAAAGTAATCTCGAAACAATCAGTATAGGATTACTTAATTATGCCTGTTACCCCAATGGAGCACTGTCCGCCGATATGTATTCTCCAGTCTATTCTGTCCTGAGACTGCCTTTCCGGTTCTGTCCAATTTTTGTTCATTCTCCTCATGTCTGTAGTGTGTTCCTTGGCTTTCCTCTTCTTTGTCCCTGAAGGATTCCAAGTGATGGCTTGTTTACAATATTCAATATTCATAAGTATCAGTATTTTACTCTTATATCTATCAAAAGTATTTACCTGTGCGCGGATCTTTACGCTTTCCCTGATGTGAAAAAAGTGCCTAATTTGTTGTATTATGGCCTATCGTAAAATAAACCATAAACTCCACAGAATTCTGTTTCTAAAAGAAATCATGCTGTTTTTATGACAAGTTATCATTCTTTATTTATATGTTTTGTGTCCATTTACTCGAAACGAATGTTTTGAATTCTTTATTTTTTTAATTGCAGAAATTTATGTTAAAATTTGATCTTGATAAAGATGGAAAAATTACTGAACAAGAATTCATCCAAACACTTACATGCACAGATGATGTAAGTCAATTATTATTTACACTTACATGAAAAACACCAAATAACAAAATCATTCTGATCCCACGACGTTATAAGACATCTCTGATGAAATCATCAAACTGATTAAACAATTATGGTCTCACTAATGAACAGCTTTAAAATGGAATTACCGAAATTGTGACCTGTGAAGTCAACCACGCCGGTGGTGAGATAGTAACTTATTGATACGATTAGATTATAATAATGGGTCCACATTACAAATTTCACCACGGTTAAATTATGAATCGATAGGTTTTGGGGATCAGATGTAACGTTACTGAATCCCTGCCTGTTGGTTTTGTCTTGCTACGTAAATCAATTACAAACTATGGAAAATATCTTGAAATTGTAGACCTATTTCGTCTGCTAATAAATCAACATTTTTGGAAAATTTTACGTGATTTATTATTTTCGTAATCCGATTTTCTTACCAGAACCTTGACTTATCATGTCTAATTTAATGAACAATTTTTATTAATTTATTATCTGTCATTTTCCATTATTCTAAACTTTGATTAATTTCTTCTTTTAAACATGTTGATTGTTACTAAATCTCTTTTTTTTGAATAAATCATACTAAATTTTATAGATCGCTACTAGTACTTTAAAAGAATTTACGATAATCTTCTTGAGTTTTTATCCCAATACATATCGAAGAATAGGTGGATTGTGGTTAAAATTTCAGTCATTGATGCTTGTTTTGTCTTTCTTGGGAATTGTCAACAAAACTTATCTGTATTCAAATGTTTATAATAACATTCATAGTTAAACCTATTATTACTCGCTTCAAACAAGAACGTGTCATCCACTGGGCCTCGTAGGACAGATAATCACTAAGATCGATTGAAATGTAGTTTTGGATATTAACGACCGGATAACCCAAGTCCAGACTAACAATGATAATTAGATTCAAGGCTTCATGTTTATGATCATCAATTATTTTTAATACTAATTCATACATTTAGATATTATTACTAAAACCTCGTACGATCTTCGGGCTGAATTGTGTTATGAAGATGCATTCCAAGATAGAGATACTCAGTGTTATTCACATGCCTTACTTATCATTTGCGATTAGTTCTTTACGAGGTTATCTTTGCATTTCTGTATGCCTATGAGAAATGATTCATCAAGATCGTTAACAGGAGAAGATATTATCGTCAGTTTTCATTGCAAAATCATTCATGGGTGCTACTGAAGTTTGATAGTTTTCAGATGCTATAAAATTCGGTCTTTATTCTGAGATAATTGTTGTAAGTGTTACTTCATTTAAGCTGATATTTGATGTTTGAAGTAACAGCTCGATGAAAAAAGCAAATAATGTTAGATAAAATAGTATATTTTGTCAGCAATTGAAATCTTTAACTACTGGTCTCAGGTCTTTCATTTAAACGTTTGCAACTTGACTGGTTTATTTGAAGGGTTGTACACTAGAGACTTGAAAAATGTTATACAATCATACATCTACAAGCCATTGATCGGTTTCTATTTTACCTCTGTTACTAAACTTGAATAGTTTTCACTTCAGACAAATCTGTAATTGGATTTGTAATATTTTCTTTTCCTAAATATCTCCACTTCTTGGCATTTAGTACAACAGGAATCCTCAATTATTATTTGAAATATCACTACTGAGTAAACACATGCTGAAGTGAAAATTTTGCCAATCATCTTGGGTAGAAGTAGTAGTAGTAGTACTTTGTTTGTCTTTTTTTCTCTTTTCATTTTTTTCTGTTTTAAACTAGAATGCCATTTCTTCAAAAAGCGAATAATCGGTGTACATCACTGATGCGTTCGGTGATTAAACGTTCTACATTCTGTCAAAATAGGAAAGAAAATCTTCTTTTGTCTGTCCATATAAATCAATGCTGTTTAATTTGTTGATTCAAATTCGTATTCCCCTTTATACACTACTGAATAGATCATGTATTTTCAATTATTTGAATCAATGATAATTTGTAACCAGTTGAAATCTGTTTCATTGAATATTTTTGTTAAAATAAATTGATAAAACTTCTTAAAAAATAATAAAAGTCAGCTATGCTGTTTTATTCATTTTTCTGTCTGCGAAGGTTGTGAATTTGAGTTTTTTTGAAAACAAAAACACAAAGAGGAAATTAGTGTTTAAAATGAAGCGGTACGTAGTACACAAAGTGTACCTGGTAGAGTAACAGTAATTTATTTACCGGTGGACTATATACTGTTATCAATAAAACTGATAATAACAATAACGGTACTAACGATTAAGGTAATAATAATAATAATAATAATAATAATAATAATTTGCAATATTATTTAGGTCACAGCCGAAATAGTGTCGCTAGTCTATTTAGTCCAAAACTATTAGGTTATATTGATAAGCCTCGTTTTTTGAAACCAACAAAACCAGAGAACTTTAGGCTCCTGTTCTGTTTTAATTTGAAACGTATCCATGATATTCGCTGATTATGTCACAAAACTGTCTAACTAAAGATGAATTAGTTGCGTGAAGAGGATTAATTACCTTCAGTGACTAAACAGAAACCAAATAGTTTGTTTATATATTCAACTTTAACTGACCAACGATATACAACTTGAACACCACTGAATGTTACCAGTGATCGATTTGTTCCTTTCCGCTAGTGAGCATTTTTCAAAACATGAATTTTCACAGAATGAGAAATGATAGTAGTAATTCCTTATAATATCATTCATTTTTTTCATAGTAGAATATCAAATCACAAGCACAAGAATACCCTACATAGAATTACTGATGAAATCTAATTGAATGTTTTGATTTTAAATTTAAATTCACAAATCATATAGTTTGAATGATACTCATTTTTCACCATATTATCCTCATATGATTTTGAGATGATGGAGAACATTTGTAGCTCAGGTTGATGTTGTGCTGGGATTTCGTTCTCTGAGCTGAATGTTTGAGTTCTGGGGCTTTCATCGTTCTTCTGGACAAAATCATCAGCACGAACTCCAAATTTCTATCTGACGTTTGAGCTCATGATGTTGTTCAGGTCTTCTAAATGTAGACCTTCGATCTTCAAAGGCAAAGTTTGAATGATTTGAATTATTTTTTCTGGTTATGGTTTTTTTAGCAAGTAATTCTCTAACCACATGCTCAGCCTTCCTCCTTTATCCAGTGATAGGACCGGCCGTTTTCTTAGAGGGGGTCCGGGTGGACTTAACGCATAATATAAAGTTATTAAATCGATATCCGTGATATTTGTAAGTTGAGATCAGCAGCTATTGATTCAAAACCCTCGTATTCTGAAATTAATCCTACACAGTCCGCTAATTGGATAGGTTTCTAGTTACGTTTCATAACCTCTTTCAATTTGTAACATAGTGTGATCGTGAATAAAGTTAGGAGACAATAATCCCACGAAATAAAAAAACTGGTTAATGATTCAAGAAAATGCCGTAAGTTATGGTGAAGAACGTATACTACACCCATCCAACCGATACGAACCTTCCAAAACTCACTGGATAAACAATGATCACATTTTCTCTTTTTTTCAATTTATCACTTCAGGATAAGAATTACCGTACTACCTTATCATCCTTATTGCCAAGGGTTCACAAAATATTCTTCACATCATAAACCAAATAGATTTAAAGTGAGTTTTTTGTATTCGCAGTAGTTTGACCTTTCAAACTCTTTCAAGTGAATCATTGTAATTATCACACTAAACTAGTGACAAACGGAAAAAACCTAAATTTAATGGATATACACTACGAAACAACACTTAATACAACTTACTACTGATCACGCAAGCCTTACACCACAAGTACTAAAACAAATGAGAATAAACGATATTTAATTACTACCACTAAAATTAAGCATAATTCAATGTTTCAGGGTCTTCATCACCTGTTTTAAAAACTATAATTAGTTGGGTGAAAAATGATAGTCATTAGAGTACTGGTCAGATAAGCATTGATTTGCATTTGAAATAAATTGGAGTTGAAAACGGTACTCATTAAATTCTGATTAGTAAACTGAACGTTATAGTAGTCTTGACAAGTTTATAAGTACTACTTTTCAATGAAATAATTGTTCAGTGGTCAATTATTTTGATGATTCTTTAACTTAGGTCAATTCCAGTAAACAGTTACATTGAGTTTACAAAATCCTAATAGACAACTTAAATAAATAACTGGTGTTGAGGATGATAACTAGATAGTGTTTCTTTATTTTACTAGATCGTTACCGAAGTTATTAATAAATTAAACCTCAGTGACCTGTGTTTTTGGTAGTACTAGGTTGCTTAATGTTTGCGAAGTGGTAAAATAAATTAAGCTTACTTTTACTGCCTTTTATACCCTTATTATCCAACATTTGAGTAAGTAAATATTTTTTCTAAACTTTTTAAATTAAGAGTCATAATATGTAATATATGTAACAACAGCAGTAACTGTCATTATATGTAATAATTCTAGTTATTTTTATCACGTAATAACGAAATCAAATGGTTCTTAATTGTTATCTTCAATTGATATCACTTGAAAAAATATAAAACATTATTCTTGTTCAATGACATAATGAGTAACTTTAATGTTCTAACCTCGTTGGGAACTTTTCGACAGTATATTAAACTAATACACGGTCATAGAATCTCCAGTTACAATTGATCAGATGCCTTCAAATAACGAGATTAAAGAGTATTACATAGTAGGATATGTCATACTAAAAATAATCATGTTATTCATGAAAAAAATGTCTACGTTGTAACACAATCTATTAATAAAGTAAGGCTGATTATGCTTTTTTGTTTGAAAATACTGACATCATATGACTAAGTATCTATTTTTTGAAAAGTTTTACTTAAACATTTTACGACAGTTTAAGATAGAAGAAAAAATCAGTTAATTTTAACATACTTAGAAGTTAGGAATTGAGTGTAGGTATTTTTATAGTTTAACAGAACACTTATATCGAAAACTATTCGCACGATATATTTAAATAGTATATAAAATAATTACTGACGTGAAAGTAATTATGTGTTTCAGTCTATTTATATCTTGCCTTATATTGTAATTTGACTCATTTTTTAATTTCGTCAACATATCATTTTATCGATTGACAAGTAGATATTTACATAGGATTGTGTGATATTTTTACTGCACACCTAGATGTTACAATGGGTATCCAAAGTTTTTATAATTTTCCGACCAATTTTTTCACGGATTCTAAAATTTTTTTCTTACTTTAATGCTATGTTCAGTAAACAAATGTAATTCCTTTCTAAATTAATTTATGTAACCGAACAAGCATGTTTCATATTTTCATCAACACTCCAATGAGGGTAGATTGATTATGTTTAACACATGCTTAAATTAGTGTAGGGGATTGGTGACGATAGGTAACAAAATGTCGCTTACTTTTCATACATACTAGATTCTGAAAATCATCCTCTAAGGATTCTTCACTGCATCTGTAAAGCCTTCAACAACTAAAGACTGAATGATGAAAAAGTAGTATTTCTATATCATCTGTGTATGGTAGAATCATTTTAGTTTAGGTTCTACGTATTAACAATCTTTCGTTTCATTTGATATGTAAACAGATTCTTTTTACTCTCTTTGGTCGTATTTATCGTACTTATTTTTTTAATGGAAAAAGATTAATATTACTTCTTTATCTACAATCTGAGTTCTTTATTTGTATTTCTGATATTACTTGATGTTTCCTTGATATCTAAATTCTTGCGAAATGCCACCTTAATTTATCGTGCTGAACTACTGACATTTTTGTTCATTCGCTTTTTTCATCGCTAGTAGATATGAAATCCTTTTTAATAGTCAGAAACATTTGTTGACTTTAACAAATAAATAGTTTTGCGTTCACTAAGAATCCACGAATTGCATTTTAGACCTAATCGTATCAGCTTTTTAAAACACTGTGTCGGTTAAAACGCTTAGATCAATATTGTTCAAATAATTTTTACATTTTCACATGATAACTGAGTTTAAATGATACATTAAATACCACGGATTTATTGTATTTTGGCGAGATTAAGCTTTATCAACATAGACACGAAAGGTATTATGATGCTTGCATGTTATAATGATATTTTTTGTCTAACTTGTAAAAACAAATTTTAGTATCTCACTCTTCACTTTATGCGGTGACAAGTTGGTGCAATCACCACATAATTTTTCTAACTGTTTAAAACATACGCATGCCCACACCTTCAGGTTCGTAACGTCATCCCACCATCTCTCCTTCAAAGAGACATAAATCTCCTGGAATGAGTGCAAAGGCAAATAGCTAAATGGGTGTTAGAACTGAAGAACAAACCTTACGAAAATACACTCCAGCACTAGGGATTATTGCCTATGAGTTGCAGGAGAATCAGAGGTGATCTGATCATGGCGTACACTATATTAGCCACATCAAACCATCGCGACATGAGGATCTTGTCGAAGCGCCGCCACCATCGCCCTCGAGTTAATCCTTGAAAAACTGAACATCAAAGAGAGAACACCTTTTTTTCATTGGGAGTTGTCGCAACTTGGAATGCACTACAAGACAAAATGACCACAGCCCTCTCCGTGTATAGCTTCGACAACAAACTTTGTAAACTTCTTACTTACGGATTATCATAGCCCTCTTAGACTAATTCTGCCTGATGCATTTCTCGAAACTTACTAGTTGTTATAATCGTCATTTCCTAAAATCACTAAATTGTTTCATCTCGCTATTTTCTCTGTTTCCTCTCCTTTGCTCACACTTCCATCCCGTCTCACAATGTTCATTACCAGTTAATTATCTTATTTATCCATTTATTTACTTAGTTCTGAAATCCTATTACTATTATTGAATGGAATTCGCAGAAAGAGTCCTGCTTACAAAGTCCTTTCAAAAGTGCCCAATTCTTTGAACTTATTTCCCTCATATAAATTCTGTACTTATTATCGCTCCATCATTTATGGGTATTCGTGCACTTTTGGATCATGAATGTGTACCGATAATCTGTTCCACGTCAGCCTAATCTGCAGGGGACTTTGCTCCATCTGGTGTTGTTAGATAGACGAACAAGAAATTTTGTAA